CGATATCTTGCAGCGAGTAAATATCTATACTAGTCTAGCAGCTGATACGTTTCTTCACACATGAATCTTGCGATATCAACGGGAGAAGCACAAGAATAGGCAGCTGAACGGTAGAGATCAGTGTGCACACAGCACCAGGCTACCAATCAGGAGCAGGCGGTAGCGACTACTAGCAAGATAGTTGGGACGTTACGGGGGTGGGTGACCGAACCGCCGTGCACCGGTAGCATCATCTTGCCGAATCGGCGACGGCAGAGCACGGCCCGGTTTATGCGCGAAACGGCAAGCGAACGGACCGCTCGGTCGAGAAATCCGGGCCGGCGGGCATGGGCGGTTCCATCATCGCCGGACACGTCCGTTCGGCCACTAGAGAAAAGGCGAGGCTCAGACCGTGCTTCCAGAACGCGGGCGAGCATCCAAGAGATATGCTAGTATACGCATGCACGGGCGAGTGAGGATGCATCCGATCCCTCTCGATCCACCACTTGCCTGGGGAGAATGGTGCTGGGCTGGCCAATGGCGGACGCATTAGGTGCGGCAATGGCGTCGTTAGTGGTAACTTTTGTGCCATTTTTCTCTCTTCACTTTTGAGAGCCGAGAAAACGTGGGCTTTTCGCTACTGTTTTGCACCGCCTATTTGGGAGCTGGGAAAGATGAGTGTTGGGCAGATGCGATGGAATCTCCAGGAGGAGCATCGATGCGGAGCCGAAAATACAACTCAATGAGCAAGTGAATTGAGGGAGTGCAGTGGCAGTGTGGCACTTTAGGCCAACTCCATCGCGTGACCCCAAACGGACGTCCGTTTTGTTCAGATTATATCCGTTTGGGTAGGGCAATGGAGTTGTATCCGGACTTGTCCTGGGATGTAGTGGCCATGCGCCCAGCGCGCGGCCGCATCCGTTTGTCCCATCCTGTCCGTCAGGGCCAAAAATGCCCATATTTTCATCAAAACAAGTTTGCACATCCAAATATTTGTCTAAAAATTAAAATAGTTTTACAACCCAATTGAATTTGTCTGTAATAAAATAGTTTTACAACCAAATCAAAATTGTCTCGACTGAACATAAAATGAACCAATACATTTATTGGTTGCCAATGTGATCCCAAACGTGCTCAACCAAGTCATTTTGAAAATTCAAATGAGTGTGCCAATCACGCAGCTCACGGTGGAATTGGACAAATTGTTAAAATGTGGCCGGGTCTTGGTGCAGTGGCTCAATATTTTCACCTTGATAATCAAATCCTTAGTCGAAAATACTCTCATCACGCTCGTCCTCGACGATCATATTGTGCATGATCACACAAGCAGTCATCACATCCCAAAGCTTCGTTGTGAAAAGCTTCTACTATTCGGCTCATTGCTCCTCCCGAGTCCCCTCTCCCTTCTCGAGTCGCCCCCCGCGTGGGCGGCCGGGAGGCCCCCAGATCCCGTCGGCCGGCCCTCCCCCACTCTTCCTCCTCCTCCTCCCTCGCCGCCGCCCAAGGGCGCGGCCAGGCGAAGCCTGGTCGTCGCCGGCGGCGGCGGGGACTCGGGCCCTCTCGCTTGCGTGGGGCTGGCGCGGGCCGGCGCCTCCGGGCCGGAGCGTGGCGGCAGGCCGGATGCCACGGCGGGTGGTGGCGGCGCCTCGGCGACTTCGCTCCCCCGCGGCAGGAGGCCTCGCGATCTGGTGCGTCACGGTCGCTAGGGACGGCAGCGGTGTGACCGGATCGGTTCGCGGCGGCGCGGCCGGATCTATGCCCAAGCGTGGGCCTTGATCGCTGGTCTACCGTCTCCACGATGGCGGGTGCGACTCGTCGGCAGCTAGGCAGATCCGCCGGGATTCTACCCTTGTCTGATCCTTGACAGCACGGGTATCTACGGGGGAAACCCTAGATCTCCTTGGGATCGAGCCATGACGGTGATTTTGCGTCGTAGTCCCTCTTTAGGGCATCGTTTTGGAGTTTACTCCGGTTGAAGGGACCAGCGACGTCGGTGGCGCACGTCTGGTGGAGCAACTGCCGATGAAAATCGCGCCGACTACGGTCATGGCAGACGATGATGGCGTCTTAGATGTCGTTCCCTTGCCGAGGCATCGTCGTTGCAGTCTGCGTCATCAGGCTCAGGATGCTCCGGGGGAAACCCTAGATCTGGGTCTTTCGGATCGGACGATGATGGCGTTTTATCGCTTCCCCTCCTGGGGGCATCGTTTTGGAGCAAGTGATGGTTAGGGGGATGGTGGAGCGGTACTTCATTTCACACATTGATGGTGGTGGAGATCGCGCGACATGGCGCTGTGGAGGCTTGGCGTCCGATGCACGGAGATGGACTCGCGCAGGAGGAGGTAACTGTCTGGCGTCATGGTGACATCGATGGCAGAGTGGCCAGACAAGGTAGAAGCCTCAATATGATCTGAAGACGAACCTGTGGAAGATGGCGGCGACGACACACGAGTGTGTCTGACCGGATTGTGCCCGAGACCCGGTATGTGGCTCGGCTGGGGCTTCCGGCTTTATGTGTTAGGCTTAGGTGAGTGGTTTGGGTAATGGCCCAGTTAGCATCCCTTCATCATATGGATAGGAGTAGTGGCATATGTTGCCAAGATGGTGGATTCAGGTATATTGTTTGTAATACTTTGTAAGGTCCTTGAGAATAATCAATAAAGTGGTCGTATGCATCTCCCAGATGCAGAGGCCGGGGGTCATCCTCCTTTTCTAAAAAAGCCTCCCAAAGCTTCGTTTCATCCCATGACAGTGCAGGGTTTCGAACGATACCCCGTCGGGATTGAAGCACACCAAAAGCACGTTCCACATCCTTTCTAGCACTCTCTTGCATTTGGGCAAATCTCTTTTTTTCTCACCTTGGGGTTTCAAAATTGTCTTCACAAAAGTTGACCACTGAGGATATATACCATCAGCTAGATAGTATCCCTTGTTGTACTGGTGGTCGTTGGTCTCAAAGTTGACAGATGGGGAGTGGCCTTCTGCAAGCCTTGCGAAGACTGAAGAACGATGCAGCACGTTGATATCATTGTGAGAACCTGCCATGTCAAAGAAAGGATGTCATATCCAAAGATCCTGCGAAGCCACCGCTTCTAATATGACAGTGCACGCCTTTACATGCCCCTTGTACTGGCCCTGCCAAGCAAATGGACAGTTCTTTCACTCCCAGTGCATACAATCTATGCTGCCAAGCATGCCTGGAAAGCCTCTAGCTGCGTTGATCGCTAAGAATCTCTCAGTATCAGCGGCAGTTGGCTGCCTCAAGTACTCTGGGCCAAACACCTTGATCACAGCCTGACAGAGCTTGTACATTGACATCAGACATGTTGTCTCACTCATACGCACATACTCATCCACCAGATCGCCTGAAATTCCATATGCAAGCATGCGGATGGCCGCGGTGCATTTCTGGTAAGAGGAGAATCGAAGCTTGCCAAGGGCATCCGTCTTGCATTCGAAGTATGGGTCATGAGCAACCACTCCCTCTCGGATACGATCGAACACATGCCTTGCCATTCGAAAACGGCGACGGAATTTATCCCGCTTGAAAAGCGGAGTGTTGGAAAAGTAATCGGCATAGAGCAGGGCGTGGCCTCTCTCCCTGTTGCGGTTCAGGTTGGGAGCACGGCCAGGGACTGACCCCCTGTACCGAGGAAGCTGCCGTTGAATGTGGTCGTGAACGACCAGTGCAGCCACCACAAGATCTTCATCATCCGACGACGAATCGTCCGACGAACAAAGGAAGTGATGGAAGAAAAAATCGTCTCCACTGTTCATACCTTTGTAGGCAAAATGGCGAACACCTTGCGGGCGTGATGGCGAAGAGGCCGCAATGATCAGCTCGACGCAGCAGGGGTGGTTGCCGGCCGGCTACTGGCCGCTCTGGAGCTACTGGCCGCAGGGGTGGTAAGTCGCCGGCGGTCGTGTCCATCGGCAAAGACGGCGACGGCCAAACCTCCTCCCATCGACGGCTAAAACTACGGCGAAAGCGCAGGCATTGTGGCGGCCATGTCGAGACGTGATCTCGTATGGACGGCGGGGGGGCTGCGCGGTGAGGAGGCGGCCGGAGGATAGCAGCGACGCCGACAACGGGGCGGGGCGGGGAGAGAGGGTGGAAGCGATAGCGGAGGGACTGCTAGTGTCCCCGACAGGCGGGCCACGGGGGGACAAGGGCGTGCGTCGTGGCCGTCTACGCGCGTCTGTTTCATCCTAAACCGAGCACAAATTTAGATCGGGGATGAGTCGAAAACACACGGAATCCGGATATTTGTTCGTTTAAAACCGTGCGTTGGACCATGCTATTCATCCGTTTTACTCCAAATAGACGCACCCGGATAAGATGGGTCGCACGGTGGAGTTGGCCTTACTAGTGCAGTGGCAATGGACGTAGTACCACGTCTTGAAAAAGCGATTGTGTACCTTTGCTTAGCACTCGCAAAATAAGTGTGCCCTCCCTGTTTAGAGAGGATCGATCACAATTTCCCGCCGTATCACGCGAGGCAGCCCGAACCGGGACCGTGACGCCGACAGGTTCAGAAACAAAAATGCACCTCTTTGCTGGGATTTCATAGCTTGTTTGTACTCCTTCCGTTCCGAATTATTTGTCTTTGATTTGTCTAGATACGGAGGTATCTAACACTAAAATATGTCTAGATACAATTGCATCTACACAAATTCAAGACAAGTAATTGGGAACGGAAGGAGTACTATATATGATTTGCAATTTGCGATTCGACCGGTCGATCATACTACGTGTGCTTGCCGGGTCGCGACTCGGCCCGGGCCCGCGACGAGTCGATAAGAACGGCCCGAGAGCTCACTGTCAAAGTACCCGCCGAGTCTTCCTCCTCCCATTTTTTCCACCACTTTCCACAAGCCACAAGCGCCGCGCTACTTTTCCTCCACCTCGGCCTACAAAGCCTTCGCGCTCCTGTGCCGGCGAGCCGCTTTCTTGCAAAGCATTTCTTCCCTCCCCTGCTCTCCCGCATCCACATTCTTCCTTCTCGTTTCCCCGGCGCAAGATGGCAATAGACCACGCGTCCCCTCTCGCGCTCAAGAGCGGCGGCGCCACGGTAATCTTGTTAGCTGATTGATTTCTTGATGATTATCTCCAGCAATGTTTCTTGGTTCTCGACTGATCCTAATGGCGGTGCCGGATTGAAACTGCAATGTTGGGCGAGCAGGGAGGAGCGGGGTGCGAGGACGAGGAGGCGGAGAACCAGCGGTGGCCGCCGTGGCTGAAGCCGCTGCTGGCGACGAGCTTCTTCGTGCAATGCCGGGCGCACGCCGACGCGCACAAGAGCGAGTGCAACATGTACTGCCTCGACTGCGTCAACGGCGCGCTCTGCTCGCTCTGCCTCGCCCACCACCGCGACCACCACGCCATCCAGGTCAGTCAGTAGACCATTCTCCAATGCCGGCGTCCTCCTGTATCCTCTTCCTCCCCTGTTCGATCGATTCATGTTGGTCTTGACTGATGCGTGGCACGGGAGCAGATTCGGAGGTCGTCGTACCACGACGTGATCCGGGCGTCGGAGATACAGAGGGTGCTGGACATCACCGGCGTGCAGACGTACATCATCAACAGCGCGCGCGTGGTGTTCCTCAACGAGCGCCCGCAGCCGAGGCCGGGCAAGGGGGTCACCAACACCTGCGAGGTCTGCGAGCGCAGCCTCCTCGACTCCTTCCGCTTCTGCTCCCTCGGATGCAAAGTATGCATATGTCCTCCTTACAATCCAAGCTTCGGCCATGGCCTGGCGCATTGCAAGCTGGTAACCAGCACGGCATCTTCTGCCCCACAGATTGTAGGCACGTCCGGCGGCCACCGGCCGAGGAAGAAGCACGGCGGCAAGAAGAAGAAGAGAGCGGCGGTCAAGGATGCGCGGTCGGACTCGGAGCACTCGTGCACGAGCACAAGCGGCGGCAGCAGCGACAAGAGCAGCGTGGTGCAGAGCTTCTCGCCGTCGACCCCGCCGGCCACCTCCAGCAGCTACCGCGCCGGCAACAAGCGCCGCAAGGGCATCCCGCACCGGTCGCCGTTCGGCAGCCTCATCGTGGAGTACTAAGACAGCACACATGCCTGCCCGGCCCTGATCAACACTCTAGCGTGCTGTACACGTGACATAGCCAAGAAGGTAATGGCTGCGCGCCCTGAACGGCGAGCCCCGGGCCGCCGTGGAGGGGCACGAGCAGCAAGCACATACTCCTACTACTATAGCGTGTGACTTTCAGTTTGTTGCAGTTCAGTTATACTAGCTAGTTACCACCGGTAAAACAGTAGCGTTAGACTGTAAGTAAGTAACTTGCAACTCCATGACGACGACTAAGTTTTGCAATGTACTGTAGTAAACTCCTTGCCCCCATATGGTTACGGCACTAGATCGTAAATGTGCATAGATGATAGATAAATGTATCACCGTAGGGAACCGTAGTGTGTGGAGCAGGAGGCCAGCGTGGTGTTCATGTGTGTGCGCGGCACGGGCCATGTACAGTAATAAAAAATACTAGTACTAAGAATGCTGCTCAGCTCGGCCATGTTTTGGTGTTCCCAATGCCGCAGAGCCAGGCATTGATCTGGCTGAGTGGCTCGTCATTCACTCACTCGAGCCAGTCCTCTGACACTCGGCGCAGAGCCAGCCCCCCATCAATGCGGCTGCCGGCCGCAGGAGATGCTCGACATGGCCGGCGATACGGTTACCCGGTGACGTCCCGCCCGCCGTCTGAGGTCAATAGAAGCGGTGTGCATTTAGCTGACGGGGGGAGGTCGGCACGTGTTTGGCCCGTTCGCGCGCGTGGAAAAGCCCGTGCGGTAGCTTCTGGAAGGGGCGAGGGCGAGTCATGGCCGGCCCGGCCTCCTCCACCCGGCGTGGACGGACGGCGACGCCGAGCCGTGCCGTGCCGTGCGACGCCGCCTAACTTGACGGGCCCGCCATTTGTCCTGGAAAGCGGCCGTTCCTGACGGCGACGCCTGCCTGCCATCGCCCGTCCACCGCCTTTACTTTCCACCGGTCGCTGCCCGTTCGGAACGAACACGCCGGGGCTCCGATCAACGTCGCGCATTTATCATCGGCCCACCGGACCGGGTCCTGCTGGCGAGTGGGAGTGGGACGCCCGGTGCCCGGACATGGATCAGGTTCAAGCGCATCCTGGCTATGTACAGTCCCGTGCACCTGCACCTCGCACCAGGTCCGCGTCTTCATCTTGGGTGACGCCTCCGTACTATTCGCGTAGGGCATCGTCTCCTCGGCAGCATTTCGTGCGACTCCGGCCTCCGTATGCCGTGACGCACTGGCGTTGCCACCCGCCCGCTCCACACGGCGGCCTCATGGCGCCCATTGGTCAGTTCCAGTTTTCTTCACTGGACACGCGGTGATGTGTCACTTGCTCCCTTTTGCTGATCTGACGATCAGTCGGCACCGTGTCATGGACCTATCGAAACGCCCTCCCCGTCCCGTGTCCGCATCGGATGGTTAGTCATTCCCCGGCATTATACTGCGTCGCTGCGTTGTGCCTCTGTGTTTTCCTCTCTGAGAAAACAGAAAACCTTGTGCCTTTTTCAGTGAGACGTGACTATGCATGGCATTTCTGGCGCCCATCCTTGGCATGGTATTCCTCGCGGTGTGGACGATGGTGGGGACGTGGATCCGTTGTACTTGCACGTCCCACTGTGAGGCGGTGTCGTGCTCACACTGGCGGGGGTGCGGTTTAGTTTCTCTCTCGCTTTTATTAAACTTTTATAGTGCAGCATTAAGAAGATCCAAAGTATTATAATGCTGAGGAGATATCTATCTATAGATAGATAGAGGGGGGAAATATGGAGAACCTGGGTACCAGCGCACCCTATATGCAAAAAACAATTAGTAATTCAAAAAAAGTTCAAAAAATTCCGAATCTTTTTTGGTTTTAAACATGATCAAGTATTGTAGTCATATAAAAAGATTCGTCAGAGAATGACTTTCGTTGCATCCTGGGTCGAAGATACGGCAAAAAATGCTATATACAAGTACTATACATGCTATATTGTCGTCATAAACTTGTCTTTTTTGCCGTGGAGTCAATATGAATCATTTCTTGTCCAAACTTTTTATACAAATACAATACCTGATCATGTTTGACTCCAAAAAAGATTTGGAATTTTTTGAACTTTTTTTGATCACTCAAACCACGTCTACGAGCATAGCATAGCAATATGAGCATAACGTAGAAGTAACTTCTAAGGTTTGATAATAAAAGGGCAATAGGTTCTACCTCATCATCTATTTCCCAATACCCACAAGTTAAAAGATCCTACTCATGCAATGTTTGAGGATTGTAACTAATGCATAAAAACTGGGTAATAATGAGGTATGATCAATGTGTTACTTGCCTTGCCGGCGATCTGCAAATCCAGAGACTCGTAGTAGCACGCTTCGCACTCCGGAAATTCTATCGCAAATAAATAATATCATACATAAGCACTCAAGCATAGATGCAAGGGTAAAACTCAAATAAGAAGATCCAATCTGAAAGCTCAACTGAAGAGCTTCAATTTGCAAAAAGAATCAATCGATTCAGAGCTACGGAACTGACACTACGGTCAAAAAAATTTTGAAATCAAATCTGCTTGAAACCAAATTTAAAAATTTCAAAACCATGTTCAAGTTGATTAATGAGAAAGAGAGGCTCGAGACGAAGATTTTGGCGTTGGTTTCACTGGATTTGGGCGAACAGTTAAAAAGTTGCGAGGGTTTGAAGATTAGGGGCTAATCTGGGATAAAAATAATCGCGGATAGGTCCCTGATCGAAAATAAAAATCTATCGGACGAACGTCTGCTAACAGAGACTAACGAACGAATTCGTTCGTTAAAACGAACTAACGAATGTTCGTAAAATAATCTAAACCGAGAAACCAGACCGATCTAAGAAAAACCTATCGGTTTATACCTAAAACCGAAAAAAACGGCGGCGATGAAGTCAACGGCGGCGGCAGGATTCCGGTGCGGGTCAGTGGGCGGTGGGCGGCAGCGTGGGCGACGGCGGCGCGACGCGGGATGCGGCGGCTACGCGGCGGCGGCGGATTGGGACGAGGAGGAGAGGGCGGCGGGACGGCGGTATTTAAGGGGAGGGGCGCGAGGTGGCTTGGGGCAGGGGGCGCGGCGCGGCTCGGAGCCGGACTCTGGCTGGTGTCCGACGCGGGCACGGCGACGGAGGCGGTGGCACAGCGGGCTGGTTGGGCCTTCGGCCGAGTGCGGTCCGAAAAACTTTTTTTTAAATAAATTCTGTCGAAAGGAAAAATCCTAAATAAATATAAAAAAAATTCTAAAAAATGCCAAAAACAATTTTCACCGTCTAAATAAAATATTTAGAATAAAGTGAACATTTGTTTTGGCCTAAAAATGCATACTTTTCTAATTCAAATAAAATAGCAATAAAACCAAATAAAACTATTTATTTGATTCTAATATTTTTCCTCCAATATTTCTTTTTATTTTGGAGAAGTCATTTTATCTCCTATCTTTTATTTTTAATATTGGATATATTTTGGAGAGAAAAATAAGTAACACCAAAATGATCCTTTTTTCAAATTTGAGAAAAATTCAAATATGAAAATAAACGAAATCCCCAACTCTCTTCGTGGGTCCTTGAGTTGCTTAGAATTTCTAGGATCAAAATCAAAAGGCAAATAAAATATGATATGCATATGATGACCTATAACATTTCAAATTGAAAATTTAAGATGTTACAGTAACTTTGAGTAACAGTTGGATGAAGTCGATCCGACAATAGAGAGGTGGCAAATCCAAGTGTTGTTGACCATTAATATGCTCTTAACTACACCAAGCTCTACAACGTTTGAGACATTCTATTGTTGGGCTTAAGCCCTATGAACATTTTGTACAAAACTAGTAAGCATGACTCACGTATCATGCGAAAACAATCAGCATTCATCCTAGGAATAGAATATATCAATAAATAAATGAAATATAATCATGTACCAGAAAAATATATAATGATCATCAGAATAATGAAATTAAGCTAGGAATATTGAGAAATGCAAGACAATAGCCACTCTTTCTTTCCGGCATTGTTCCATGGACAGGGATGCTGCTAGGCTTTAGGCCTCCTTTGGTTTGGAGGAATTTCATAGGAATTTTAGAGGATATGATTCTTATAGGATTTTTTCCTTTAGAGCCCTTTGGTTCATAGGAATAGATTCCTATTCCTACATAGGATTGGTTCCTATCCTCCACATTTCATAGGAAAATAAAAATGAGCCTAGACTCAATGAAAAAATTCCTTTGATGTCAACCAAATGACGTCTCGTTTCCTATTCCTACTCATAGGATTTGAGATACATGCCATCTCATTTCATACAAAATTCCTATTTCTATGATAATCCTATCCTATGAACCAAAAGAGGCCTTTGTTATCTTGAAAGAAAACCTTGCTTGTAAGACTTCTTTAGTCGGAGAAAGCGTTAGAGCTTCCTGAACCTACACATTGCACCCTTTGTGTTAGACGAAATAAAAAAAGCTAGGCATTGGTAATCATGAATATACCTTGTAATTAAGTTATTTGTTTTGTTGATGTATGGATTGAAGTATAACCAAAACTGCTCAGTTGTACTCAAGATAGCATCTGAATTTGAGTGTCGGAAAGCCTTAAAAGTATTAATAAACAACTTAAAACGCAATAGCAGGAACCAAAAAGCATGTTACCCCTGAAATTCCTATCAACTGACACTGGTTTTTTCTCCGCATTACACATGCCAAAAGATACTAAGCATAAAATTAACCCATTTATTTGTCTACTAGATGACCAGATTAAATCGTAAGCGTAAGCATTACCTGGTTCTTATTTCAGTGAAAAGGAAGTCCGTTAAATAATGATTGCCAATGCACGTCACCATGTATGATTCAGAAACCACCCCAAGAATAATTTAGGGAGTGGATACATCTGTTTCCAGAGCCTGCAACTCATAATGAAATGCCAGACAAGTTTATTGTATATAAGTGAAATGCTAGACAACTCATAAAAAATGTTCACTAAACTTTCAAGAATTGTTGATAGCATTAAAAAAATCATG